TATACAGCTCGGATACACAAACAATGACCCACTTACTCCACAGACTACATGCTCTTCCACACTATTTATGAAAATTGATGTTTATTGTTTTTATGTTTTGAGCATCTCATTGCACTGAGTATATGCCAACTGTATATGCCACACAACTTTGATTAAGCTGACACACTCTGTCGATTAAGGGGCTGTAAGGAGCTGGACTCCCACCCGCTGGGGCTTGAAGCACATAGAAGCTTTGGGGTTTTCTGCGAGGGCCGCAGTGTTACAGCTGCTTGCTGGAACGGAATGTACAGAGAAAGATCCGGAAAGGACGGGTTACATAACATGAGCTGCTCGCTGTGCAGAGAGGATTACGGGCGCAGGGGGGGAGAGAGGAAAGAGGAGGGGGGGAGAGACCTGTGGGCCGCGATCGAGCCCAGGGAAGGCGACGGAAATTAACGCTGAACAATCAGCTACGATGATGTACGTACCAGCCACGCCAGCCTGAAGACACCCGAAGCCATGGCGGATTTTTTTTTCCACCGAAATGCAAACGGATTTAACTTCTTGAAACTCTTCAGCCGCTGAACTCCAGCTCTGAGCCATTGGCCCAGTTTGCTTGGCTTACGGGGGTCACCGTGAGCCCCCAGTAAAGGCTTTCAGTGTCGCTTCGAATATTTACAAACGCAGCGGCATCGGACTGTCCCAAAACTCAACGTGTTTTGGGAAGGGGGGTGGGGGGGAGACCGGCGTGTTTTCCCCAGATAGCTCCAACAATAAGCAGCAGTCGGCTGCAGAGGAACTGCGGGCTTCAGATTTCACACCAGAGTTCTGCTTTAATAAAGATGAATGAGAAGCAGCGACGGAGGGGAAGGGTGCGGCAAGTCGACACCCAAAACCGCCAGGATGGAGATCCTCCATTCAGAGGAACTAGCAGCTCCGATGGTGCCACGGCCTCAGAAGACAAATTAGAAGTTTCAAAGTCTCTGCAAAGACAACATTGCGGTACTAATGCTCAAAATGAAATGAGAACAGTGTCATTTACTTATGGTCTGTTTTCACCCTCCACTTTAACCCAAACACTACAGTACTGACAGGGGAACATGCTACATCCTTCACTAGTTAACAGAAGGCGATATGCCCATTGTATCCCCATCAGGTATGCCGCTTGGATAAAACAGAACACCTCAATAAAATTACAAGAAAGTCATGTACGTATCAATACTGCCCTCTAGTGGCAGACCCATTCCCGCATGCAGAGCCCGTATCCTGGGCTAACGTGCAGCTGCACACGGTCCTGTTCTATATAAACATTAAATCAACAGATTTAATAATCAGTTTCATCTGGGTTCAAAATATCAATTTACAGGTCTAAATAAAAGGTAAGATTAGTCTCTCACAGAGGTTTAATTATAATAACAGACAGAAACAGAGTGCGGCCAATAACCACAGGACTGGGCTGTACGATGGATGAGTGACTCCTGGACCCGATGGGCGAGAAATCAGAAGATAATATAAGGCGGGGGGACAAAAATGAAAACACGGAAGAGCATGGTGCTTGTTTAATCTCAAAACAACTGATGGCAAAAATATTTACAGCACGTGGCGCAGACACGAGGTTTCTGTACAGCACAATACACATGCAAACGTAAAAAAAGGATTAAATGGGGAAAAAAAACTTGGGTGAGGTTGGCACACACACATGCGCAGAAGCACTTTGTCTTGAGCTCCCACTCGAGTTAATATACAGCTTTACAATGATGAATAAATAAGAGGACAGAATCGGGGAGGGGGGTGGCGGCACGGGCCGTACTCCGCCCCCCCATGCCCGGCAGATCCCGGTCGGAGATTTCCCGGAGAACCACCCAAGGCCGCAGGTGTACAGACTACAGTGACTTAACTGCAAGCAGCTTCCTGACGTCTCGCTGAGAAGATGCCTGCAGGTGAGGGAGGGCGTCGCCCCCATGTGTCCGCTGAGAAATCCCATCACAGTTACGGAGCAAGACCCACATATACTGCACTCACACCCCCAGGCACCCTAATGAAGTCCAAATGACCTGCCAGTGGCTGCAGTAATTAGTTTGGAAAACCTCATCGTGATCGTAAAAAAAATTTAAAAATAATCGAAACAAATCCATAAAAAACAAAATGTAAACACTCTTTCCGAGTCATATTGCCATTCATAATTCATAATTTAAAGGCCAAAAACATAAAACAAAAATGAAAGGGTTTCTGTAAAGCTCTTTATACTTTGGCATTCGGGGAAGCAAGGGTTTCTATGGAAATCAGACAAAGGCATTACTGCTGCTCGCACGGGCACACGCACGCTAGCAGACGCACGCTAGCAGACACACGCAGACTCTCGGGGCGATAATACTGAAGGAGGGAAACGGCGTCAAACAGAAAAACAGCAAAACTAGTGGCACTAAAAGCGCCATTTTCTATACATTTATTACAGGTACAGATGTCTTCATAAATAAAACGCTGAAGCCGCAACATTGCACGTGATGAGATTAAAAACATGACATAACGAGTGCATTTTACAGTAAACGCTCTTCGTTGCTCCGCCATCCGATTCGCTGTCTGCGCCGCCGCTCAGAGGGGCCCCCAGCCACTCGGCGTCCTTCCTGACCCGAGGGCATCCAATGACGAGCCACGTACTGGACGGGAGGCGGGGACAGTATGTACAAAGTAAGGCGCAAATATCTTAGGTCCGAGCAATATCACTTGTTCTAATAAAAGCAGAAAGAAAAGATATTCTTTTTTTTGCCTTTTTACGTAGGCTGGAGCTGCAGCACTTAAAATCTTGTTACTTGTGGCATTGATTTTCACGATCCCTTAGAATAAATAAACAAGGCAATTAAAAGAGCTCTGAACAGAATCAGAAAGGTTTCACCCAAGCGGCGGCTGTTCGCTGGACCCACAATCCGGGTGCTGATCTCGACCTAAACTCTGTAAGCGATGCTTGTCAGGCCAAGACCGTGAGGCAGCTTTTAAAAATTACTTACTTTTTTTGCTTTAATTATCTTTTTTAAATTCACTCCTGAAAAGCCAGACAGCTGACGGCTGCATTAGCCACGCTGGGCGTTTCCCGCCCTGCTCACAACCACAAGACAGGGAATTTCCCCTTAAAAATCCCATTACTCAATCCAAGCAACCTGAATTGAATACTCTGAAAAAGAGGACTAAGGAAAGAGGGGAAAGAGAGAGGCTGGGAATAACATTGTCCTCCATGCTAGGTCTATCTAAATCGCCGTTTAGAAAAAATTCCACATCCGAGCAGATGCGTGGAGAGACGTTTCGCCTAAATCTGTGGAATAATATTCCCACTTTTTCGCCAGATCCGTAACGGGATCCCGCACCAGGCAGCAGCAAGGGACTGGTGAACTACGGGAATACTCAAGTTTCCATGGGAATGACCTTCCACTGGTTTCGCAAGTCACGGCAGGAGGCCGTGGGTTTCGATTGGTCAGTGAAAGAGGATGAGATCTTTATTTTCATTGGTCCGTCAGACTGCCGGCAGCAGTCGGCTGTGCAGGAAGGCCTTGATGCTGCCGACAGGCCGTACGTCGTTCTGGTGCTTGCGCCGGTCGATAAACGAGATGAGACGGGAGGTATCGATGTGGGGGGAGCCGGCCCCGTGGCCCGGCTGCAGCCAGGGCTCCTGGAGGCAGAGGGAGGTGGGGGGGCGCCGGGGGGGCTCACTGCGCAGCAGGAGACGCACGAAGTCGCGGGCGCCCTGGCTCACGCCCTGGAAGTAGTCATCGGGGAAGCTGAAGTCTAGCCGGCAGATATTGAGGCAGGTCTCTTCGGCGCTCTCGTCCAGGAAGGGCGAGGCGCCGCTCAGCAGCACGTAGGTCAGCACGCCCACACTCCAGACGTCGGAGGCCAGCGCCGCTGGCTCGCCCAGGACCAGCTCGGGGGCGGCGAACTCGGGGCTGCCCAGTAGCGGATGCACGTAGCGGGTGGAGCCCAGACGCACTGCGTCGCCGAAGTCTGCCAGCTTCACCGCTGGCTGGCCCCCGCTCTGGTCCACGAGCACGTTCTCGGGCTTGCATGAGGGACAAACAAAACCACGTCACATGCTTATCAGCCCAAGGCGGCCAGAGCAGGATCCAATCAGAGGCCTTAAATACGCATAGAGAACCGCCCAGCGTGATGCCACACAGACACGGGCTGATACGCACCTTCAAATCCAAGTGCGCTATTCTGCAGTTATGCAGGTAGTGCAAAGCTTCCAGAATCTCCCGCAGATATGCGGCCACCTTCTCCTCCGTGAGGTTGCCCCAGCTCACGATGTAGTCCAGCAGACGGCCTTGGTCGGCCCTAGGAGACGGGGAGGGACAGCTGTGACACCGCCAGAGCCAGAACAAATGCTGAGACAGTTTTAGTGGGTCGGGCCGCCGCCACGCAGACGTACATCTCCAGGACCAGGACGTAGCTGGCGGCCGTCTCGAAGGTGTCCAGCAGCCGCACCAGGTGGGGGTGTTGCAGGCCGTGCAGGAGGCTCAGCTCCTGGGTCACCTGGTCGCGCTTCATCAGCTTCTTGTTGACCAGCTTGGCTGCCACCGTTTGCTTGCTCCCTCTCTGGTCGCAGCGCTTCACTACCGAGAACCTGCCTCTGTGTGGTAGGGGAGGGGTAGGAGTGCAGACTTTGGTTATATGCACATGGCGTATGGGGAAATGCATCACGGAGGAGAATTATCAACATGGCCACAAGGTGGCGCAGTAGTTAATTGCGATTAATGTTGCAGTATTATTAAGCTCCTGCTCAATAAAACTACATCTAAGTAATAACCATAAAAATACACAAATATACCCACATGGGGGCGCCATTTGTGGTGTAATAGTGATCTACAATGCAGGCAGGGAAGTTTACCTGCCCAGTTCAGAGACCACGGTGTAGAAGGAATCAAAGTTGTCTTTCCATGCGACCTTCAGTCCGTCCCCAGTCGTGCCTGGTGACGAGAGGCGCTATTTAGTTTTTTACAAGCTCAAGCCTCCAGGGAGGATAGACAGGCCAGTCACGATACACTGGGATAGAATGGCAGAAACACCCAGAATCAGGGAGACACGTTCAGCTTAGAAGCCCTTGGTAAAGAGTTTAAGGTCCAAAGGGTCATTAATGACAACAGACACCCAAAGGTGTCACACCTAAGCTGCTCATGGTTTCTGCATAAGCCCCTAAAAACTGAACAGAGATACTTCTCCTAGGACCTGGTGTAATGTGAGACTCAGAGTCCCACTGACACAGTAATCTGACCACGTGTGGCAGGCAGCGTGCTGGTGCAGAACGTTCTGGAATACTCTGGCACTCACCCAGTACTCTGAGGCTAGCAGACGACGACACGGTGCCCACGTCGTTGGTGGCGATGCAGGTGTACGTGCCGTCGTCCTCAGAGGACACGCCCACGATCCGGAGTGTCGCCTCGCCGGTGTCGCTGTGCCAGAAAGAGCCGCGAGACGTTTCAGCGCGTGGGTGTGTAGCGGTGGGGGGGGGTGGAGCTTAGGCGTCACCGGCTTGGGATACACACCTGTAAGCCAAGCTGAAGTGGCCGTTGTTGGTCAGCGTGTTCTGATCTGGTCCCTTCCAAGCGACGGTGGCCCTGGGGCGACCACACATCTTACAGCGGAGAGTGACACACTCGCCGATGTCGCATGTGACGTCACTCAGCGGGAGGAGGACCTCGGGGGGCACTGGAAGACAGAGAGATGAGTTATCGCACGCAAACTCACACTGGTGTAGCGGCCCAGATATCCACCAGAGGGCGACATTAAAGGCTCATGCTTACCGTCATAGATGTAATTGGGATTCAGAAGCTGAAAGCAAAACACACAAAGTGAGCATCCAATCAAAAAGGGAATTGGGAGCTTAAATTGGTAACGGGACAGTCTGAGTGCGGCTCGTCAGCCCGGCTCACGGCCTTCACGTTAGCGGAAGCGGCTTCATCACCTTCACAGACACTTTGTTGGCCAGGCCTTCACGGGACTTCCTGTATCCATTCTCGAGCTTTCCCTCCTTTTTCAGTTCCTTGTCTCGTTTTTCTGCCTTCTTCCTGATGCGCAGCGAGGTGTGCCAGGACGAGGACTTCCTGTTGGTGAAAACGGAGTCAGGACGGGGCCCAGTGCCTCAGCCAGACGCCGCGATCCATTCGCCACGGGAAGACTGGCCAGCGAAGCAGTTACTGTTGCATGGTCTCTTAAAGAACCACTCGTTAAAAGCTGGAGAAGCTGCCAATTAAATAATTCAACGGGTAGCACCGAACCTCTAGGACTCCAGCAGCAGACCAATCAGGAGTGCCGAACCCCCACCCTAGCATCTGCGTCACGCGGTCCCCGAGAACCAAGGGCTCTTACTTGATGGTTCCGTCGGGGAGGTCGGGGATGACGGCGGACGTGTGGCCCAGTACGTAGCCGGGGATCCAGCCCTCGGCGGCAGGGCTCTGCTCGTTGGCGGCGCGGAACACCAGAAACATGCTCTGCTGGTTGCTGGCCAGGATCTGGACCACCTCACCCTGGAGCACATTGATCTCATCCTCCTTCACGGCCACGTAGTCCTGCGTTACCAGCATGGTGGACATGTTGCTGCTGCTGCTGCTTTCACTCTGAAGATTGGGGGGGACAGACAGGTTCAGGCTCTGCGCATAACCAGGAACTGCCCATCAGTGTATACAGGACAGGGGTTCCCCGTTCTTATTTCCGTCATAGCTCCTAGCTATGCACCTAAATGAATGTCTTAACTAGCTGGCACCCACAGGCACAGATTACGTAGTGATTTTGCCCAACAGGGGCCTAGAGTTTCAGTACCCATGATGCCATGGGCCTCTCAGGAACTGTGCAGATTTGAGTGTGTTAATCCAGCTCAGAAAGAACTAGAAAAGCACATCACTCGCTAAACTAGCTATAATAAGCTTTCCCACAGAAGGAGTATGTGCAAATCCAGCCGTAAGTCCAACAAACTGACACAAACATTTGGAACAACTTCCTTATTAATGGAGCAATACTGGGTAACAAAACACTTGCATTAAATCAAGCACAAGGTATTTAATCACCATTAACAGACAAAACCAAAGGGAACCTGTAGAAACAGACAGAACCAGAAACGTTTCTTAGGATTAAAAGCAGGCATAGGAAAGCCGGCACACAGATGAAACGGACCAATCAAGCAAAGGCCCCCGAAGAACGAAAGGAGATGAGGTTGAGAGAAGAGAGTGAGCATGTGTGCAAGGAACCAGCACATTGGCAGGGAAGTGGAGAGGGACGGGCCCCTTTCCTGGAGGTGTGGCCAATGCAGCTGAAGGGCAGGAGAACGCACGACACAAAGTGAACAAGAAAGAGCGAGTCCCAGGGAGACTTTTGGAACGGCTCGGAGCACCAGAGAGGCAGGAAACAGCTGACAGAGGCAAGAGAGAGTCTACGTGCCTATGTGCCCCCAAGATGCAGAAAGCAGAGCTACCCAGCCCCAAAAGAAGTTAGTGGAAGCTTGGTTAAAGTGGCAAGACAGAGCGAAGATTCACCAGATGCATGTCAAAGTTTTTTAGTACAGCCGGTCCCCAGGAGCCGTCAGTGAAGTCGAGCCGTCCGAAGCAGGCGGGGAGTTAGTACCGGAGAGGCTGAAGAGGCGGCCAGGCCAGGCAGCCCAGGCTCTTACCCCGTTGCTCTGGGTGGATTGCACGGACTGCTCGCTGGCCGAGGAGCAGGTGCTCATGCGATCTGCATCCTTGCTGTGCGTGGAGTGCCGCTGGCTTTGGCGGCCCAGCGAGTCGCCCTCCCCAGGGAAGGTGAAGGAGCCAGGTCGGCTGGCGGGGGAGGCTGGCACGGAGCTCCAGAATGAGGCGCCTTTCTGCGGGCTGCCGGGGAGGAAGCCGTCCTTCCCGAAAGCGGGGGCCGCCATTGGTGAGGCCAGTGGGCTGGCCGCCCCAGCTCGAGGCTTACTCAGAGTTAGGGGGCTGACGGCGGCCCTGGGGACCGGTCCCAGCGGGTCCGCGTGCGGGTCCTTGGGGCCGCTCTCAGCCAGCTTGGCTCCCCGCGGGCTCTCCAGCACCCTCATGCGGGGAATCTCCACACGGGGGTCCGGCTCGCCCAGCGCACACGGTGGGTGGCGGCCAGACGTACCTGACATCTTGTCCGGCCCCTCGGGCTCGGGGGGGTGATGGCGGAGGGGCTGCGGCAGGCGCGAGGGCTGGGGGATGCGGGATGGCCGGCAGCGTGAGCCGGCAGGGGCGCTGCCCCCTGCTGGACCGCCACTGCTGCTGGGCCCACTTGCCACACCTGGGCCCACATGATTCCTCTGGTGCTCGATGGGTGAGGTCAGGGCTGGGGGGCGGGGGGCAAGACAAAGAGCTGTGTTGATCTGCTGCATTCTTTGACACAGAATGATAGAAGGACCAATCATGCGACAATTCGCCTGAAGCCCCGCCCACTCGCTCACTCTGGGTACCGTTGAGATAGCCGCGCTGGTTCTCCAGGATCTGGCTGATCTGCAGCACCCACACCTGACACACGCCCGGGTGGCTCGAGTGCAAGACAAATGTGTCGCTGCTGGTGCTCGATGCCTTCGACGTCAGCGCAAACTTGCAGGGGTCTCCGTCCACATTCTCCTCCAGGCCCAGGCAGCTGACCTGCGGGGTGGATAGCGATACGTCACCATGGAGAACACAATGCAAATCACATCACCATGGAGACCGTAACCTGAATGATATCACCAAGGTAACAGAATGACATTACTCTGAGGAAGAAACGCCCCGATGCACAAATCACTTTGGTGATAACATTCCTGGGTCATGTCACTTGACACTTAAAACTGCACACAGCTCTGGTGACATTACTATGACATTTAAGCGTGACTCAGGGTTCTCCTCTTGAGCTCATCGAAATTTATGATTCTAGAAACAATGAAAGCGGAACCATCTCCATGCAACACTGCTGCATGAGGCCACGGGTATAGCGTGATACAACAATATGTGCAATTACACACCCCCACCAGCAGGAGGCGACATGAGGGCACCTTTATGCTGTTCTTGTAGAGAAAGCTGGGCATGGAGAAGCCCCTCTTCTTGTCCAGGGGTTCGCTAAAGATGACAATTTGCTCGAAGAGGAAAACCCGCCTCTCCTTCATCCGGGACACGAGTGTGCCGTCCTGGTCCGAAACCAAGAAGGTGTCCTGGAGGAGCAGGCAGCCTTGTGCTACGATCTTCCCCTGGGAAACAGATAGAGGTGCTCTGAAGAACAGCATCAAGCTTATCTCAGGGGTGCTAACTATCCCAAAACTGCCCAGAGGAGAACTCAGGGAGACTGAGGGTCATGTTTAAGTTAAGAGAAGCGCAAGGCAGAGGAAGCGCATGATGGGGGCAGAGCTAAGTGGCAGACCCTTACCTCAAAGCCCTGGAGTCGCCCCACGTTCATCACATCGTTACACCTCTTGGGTATGATGCACATGACCTCCACGGCTTTCTGCAAGAAACGCACACGCCCACTGACGTCATCTACAGACCCCCCAAGGCGACAACAGCGCCAAATACACAAATAAATGCAAGTGCCAGTCAGGCGTGTGAAGGGCAGTTATAGCCGAGAGACATCAGCCTTTCTAGCTGCTGGAGATCTAACGGGGTCCCTGAGGGACAGCAATCTCACCTCCATCTCCGGCGAATCCAAACCCGCTTTCTTGGAAAATTTGAGGAAGTCCTTTACAGGAAGAAAAGAAACAGGGAGTTTAGGGCAAAATTACAGGATTTATAAGAAGAGTGGCGACTGACCAGAAATACACACACTGGACAGGTTAGGGAACAGCCCTGCCTGCTCGTGTGCAGCATTGGGGCAGGGTTTAAAAAAAAACAAAACAAAACATCGATTTCATGATTCAAATTGATCTTCATTTGCATAGTCAAACATCAATTCATAAAATCCCGAGATGGATTTTGTAATATACGCCTTTTACAGTCTATGGCCTTTTCCCGTGGATGTGTGAAGCTTTAACCTCATTAGTCTCACGTGGCCATCTGCAGACGAGATCGATAACAGACAAAAACAGATAAAACGAAAAAAAAAAGAGAAAAGAATATGGTGAGAGCTGACCACTGAAGGTAGGGCCACGTGATTTCAGATTGCGATTATCTCAAATATTTGTGCTTAATATTGCGCTACCAATAAAGCAAAAAAGATTAAAATTTGCCTAAAATAAACTACAGCCAAACAGAATTTATTATCCACCAATAGTGTGTGTGAAATAAAAAGGCACCAATCAATGCTGACAAATGTGATGCGATTAAAGGGCATAAATATTTGTTTGGCCACAATATGATCAGTAGCACATTTAGTGTGTTGTGTAGCCCAAAAGTTAGTAATCTGTATAAATTTGCCATATGCTTATGTTTATTAAACCGGTTGGACATTAAACTGCAAAAAGTACCATCACACCACAGACTTCTTTGTACCTCTTTCATCTACAATATCTCCTCTTTGGAAAGATGCTGTGGCTGCTGATCTGTCCCTCTCTTCACCGCCACTTCAGTGATTATCACTTCCATGACTTACCAAAACAGTAGCATGTGGCGTTTTCCACTAACCAAATTTAATAAACAGAAGGATATGTTGAATTTATAGATTACTAACTTTTGGGGTGTCACAATCGATATTGAATAGAATCAAATGGGATAAGAAATCGAATAGGATTCGAGACCTTGTGAATCAGAATTGAATCAATTCGGGAAATCAGTGGCAATACCCAGCCCTAGTAAGTATGTGTGCGCGCATGTGTGACAGTGAGTACGGCAGGTGTCCCACCCAGGACCGGTCCTGGGCACAGGGATGCTAGCTAGATGAGCACCTATCAGAAATGGGGGAGTGTCTCCACCATTAAAATCACCCGCTCAGTGTCACACTGACCTTCAGCAGAAGCTGATACTTCATGATTCTCTGAACCGGCTTAATCAGCAAATCTGTGATCTGCAACCGGTGACCCAGGCGCTGCTTGAGGTCCTGAAGGAGGTGAGGAACCACAGGTTACCAAGACGATATAATCTCAAGGTTACCCGAGCCCATTCCCATGACAACACACAAGGGGGGGGGGGTGTTTGAGGAGCCAGACACCAACACTGTTAACATCGAGTAGAACAGTAATTCCCAATCCGGTCCTCGGGGATCCACAGTCGGTCCATGTTTTTACTCCCTCTGTGCTCCCTGTCAGACAGTCCACATTTTTGCTCCCTCCCAGCTACTGCTGGTTGGTCCCCAAGGACTAGATTGGGAAACACTGGAGTAGAACGCCGACGGGTCTCCTCAGGTTCGGCCTGGATAACGATCAGTATCACAGATGCCTCAGACAGACCATGCCATCCCGACACCATTACTCTGACCTTTCGGGACGCTCACCTCAAAGTACGTCTCGATGTACTCTGATACGATGAACTCCGACTTGGGTTTGTTCTGGCAGTAGACGATGTACATGTGCCAGCGCCGCTCCTGCGCGGGAAACGGACAAACGCAAAGGCCATTCAGACACAGGACAGTCCCCCCACACGGCTACGCTACTCACCAGATAATCCATCTCTAGGGAAAAGGTCCCATTAATCTCAACTGTGTGCCCTATATTTTGACCCTTGACCTCAAGATGTCACTCACATGTTTGAGGAACAGTGGAGCCAGCCTATCAGGGTCCTCGAGACACTTCTCAAGCTCGCCGAGGAACAAGCTGCATTTTCGGGGAAACAAAAAAATAATTTGTCTAAATACAAAATGGTAGTTTATTACTGGAAAAAGCACTTTCTCTAAACAACAAAGGATTGTGAAAGCGAGGAACGCTGCGCTTACTCTTTGTGCCAATCGTAGATCTGGTGGATGTTGCCAAACACGGTCTTGTCCTTCCCTTTCATGTCATCTGGCACTCCTTCTTCCCTCATCCTGGCCATATAGCCCTAGAAAGGACAAGCGGTGGGGGTGAGCGTGCAGGCAGATCTAATACTGGAGGGGGGGTGGTGGTGGCTGGAAACAGCAGACGTCCTCGAGACGGCTGGAGTTTATATGGTGAGGCCTTGTAACTATGAGCATGGTTAACAATAGAACCGCCAGCAGCGACGTAGTTTGGCGTGTCACACCTTTTGTTTTCGTTAATGCGCCATTGCATTAGAACTCCGGTCACCCAAACAATGGGACAGTCAATGATCCTCACACCATCAGTTATTGTCACCACAAAAAAAAGCTGCAAAACCCATAATACAGTCGTTGTTTATGTCATATGTTTTTGTGCTCATCGAGTTATTTTGCTTTCGATAGATTAATCTAGTGAAATTAATCTCAATCCTAAAACAGTATTAAAATAAAAACCTCACTTCAACAAATACCAAAAGAATCAATCACCTTAATCACTATTAGAATTGAATATAAGTGGTCTTATTATTTCAAAAAGACAAAAAGTGAGACTGGTAATGTTTTCTCATACATTTTATATCTGTTGGAGAGACATCACAGACGGAATGGAAAGCCGCTTCAGCCAAAAACTGTGCGTGACACAATTCATGAAAATAAAACCTACATTTGTTAATTGTTTCATCTGGGTTTATATAAAATGACTTTATAAGGTTATAAAAAAGCAGAAACTTTGAGGAACACAAATTCACAAATAAACTGTGTCTATTTATACAACACTTTATATAATACATACCGAGTTTGAAAAATTTTTAGCTGTAGGATTTCAGGACAGAGCAGCCGCTCTATTAGGAACATTACGGCTTTTTGGTTGAGGGTATTAGATTTGCTGCTAAAGACACATTAGCGCAAAACAAAAAGGCCGCATATGCCGAAGTATGTCTTGCTTAGCGGTTGAAGAAATTTGACGTTCATTCGTTCACTGGTGTGGGAAACGGCGGTTCTAGTGTTAAGAAAAGGATCTTCTGAGAAAAGCAAGACTTCAGAATGACTTCACTAACATCTTAGGCACGAGACTCACCTCCACCACCAACCCCAGGTCTCTCACGTAGTCCCTCTCAGTCTCCATAAGCTCTAGGAGGACGTAGCTGGACAGCAAGACGGCACACAGGGAGAAACGTCAGCGCCTCCAAGCACACAGGAGAACAATATAGTGATCATCAGCACCCCCTGTAGAAGGGAGGAAAGTCTCGGGCAGAAACATACTGTCGGCGCTTGAGGAAGCCGGTCTTGCGCTCCTCCATCTCGTCGATGGGCGAGGAAGACGACAGGAGAGAGTTGTCCGAAGGGTTGAAGGAGGGGCTGCTGCTGTCTGCTTGCTGCACAGAGAGGGAGCTGGGCCGGTCTTCCAGGGCCTGAAGGGGGGAGACACCACATGGCAACAGGTCTCAGGGTGGCTTAAACGCAGACTGACAGCTCCTGCAGGTCACTGCGTCGCCAGAACAGAGTTGCCCAGTATTTAACGCCGCATTTGAATACGACGTTAGAAAATCGACCGTAACACTGCTGCCGTCCAAGATTAGCAGGTTAGCATTAGCGAAATAGAAGCGTTGATAAAGGAGAACGCTAGGTGAGCAGAGAAGCCCGCATTTTGATTGGTTTCACTCAGAACGGCTGCACCTTACCATCTTGCTCTTGACCAGTTCCTCGATGGCGCTGACCAATTCCGCAGCACTGGGCGTCTCGGAGCTGCTTGGGCGTACAGAGAGTCGCGAGGATGTCTGGAGAGGGGGTACAAGGATGAGTGTAAGATGGGTACTTCTAGAGAACGCACAAAATCTGCCCAAGCGTTACTGCGATTCACACAGAACATCAGGCTTAGAGAGGCTTGTGGTGGGCGGGGCAAGGCAATTCATTTGCATAAGACTAATTTGCATACTCAGCACTGGGGAGTCTTAGAATACGCCCATGACACGACAATAAGAGGAGCTTATGGGACACTGGCCAAGATATCATTTTAACATTAGAAATCCTTAACGCAATACAGTTTGCTGTTACCAAATAATGGAGCACCCCCCCGCCGCCACAAACATCAATCTTTTACCTGCCCATACATTACCCACATGCAACTTGTAACTTTAAAAATAAATCAACATTCTAAAACTAAATGCAAAATAAATAAAATAGAAAAAAACCAAGACAAAGAAAATCAAGGAAAATTTTTCTCCAAAGTAAAGAGAATATTAATAATGTGTTTTTAATTTGCTTAAATGTTTGCATTCACATTACTGAATAAGATAGGTTTTCAGCTCAGACATGGCATTTCAGGAGATCTGCGCTTCAGGGCCGGAGAATGTGCAATGCAGTCATGAACACAGTCCATCACAAAGAGGCAGAATGTTGCAGAAAGTCTCACCAATGCCGTCACTTCCGGACACTCCCACTTTCCCAAAAAAGGCATAGGGGGGCGGTCCCTGGCTTCGCCAGCTACTAGGTGCCAATTACAGGCAAGCATGGAGAATGGTGGTCCACGTACAGAGGAAAGGGGGACTGGTGGAGGGGGAGGGGTTGGGGGGTGAAGGGAGGGGGAGCGGGGCAGCTCGGAGCCGGCGGGCAGGGCATAGGGCCCCAGCAGGCCACCAGCGTTAATCTGAACCTGCCTTTGGCAAGGATACTTCCGAAAGAAGCCTAACAAAGGGTGACGGGGAATGAAGCGTTTATAAACAAAATTCGAGGTATTACGAATTCAGGAAGCTCAACCTCTGCAGGCACAAGGAAAAGGGTTGATTTTGGGTGAAGTACAGAGTGCTAGAGGACAATTCTCAGCGGGCAGAGCTTTTCAAAAAAGCCTTAAGGCGGAATTACAATCCAAGGGCCTTTTCATGATTACTCAGGAGAAGGGTGCTGCGCTCCATAGCAGAGTTCTTGTTTTAAGTACACGACAGCTTTGTAGCAGTAGTCAACGGAGAAGTCAGCCTTTAAAAAGGCTAAATCAAAGATGATCGTTAACTTAAGAGAAGCTCATAGTGGAAATTACCAAACAAATGAGAGTGGGAGCAGTCATGGTCTTCAAATAAGAATTACTAGAGTAAACCAAAGAACTATTATAAACCCGGAAATCAAGCACGGAAGTGAAGGAAAAAAAAAATGGGAGGAGCGAGAGGGAGTGATTCAGATGGAGAGGTATGGGAACTGAGATAAAGCGAACACAGAACACAAATCAATGAAAGGCTAAAGGCAAACAATACAGTCAGGAACAGAAGAGGAGAAAAGAAAGAGGGTCAGAGAATCGTCACTGGCCTGGAGAGCACACTGTGAACCCCCCATGCACATGACGGCCAGCAGGGGGCCACGTCAACCACGGTACGAATAAAACCTACAAATCGACGGAATAAATGTGTGATTTCCATGTAGATCCATCCAGGGGTGGGACAGAGGGCATTGCATCATGTCATTTTGAAATCGTAAGGACCGTTTGGATACGGCTGTCACATCCGAGATGTTAACCTTTGCGATGTTTTTAGTGACGCAGATCATGCCCTTCTTATAGTACCGCTACTTACGGACAGCTCTGGGGTGGTAAGGGCTGTGTAAGTTTCCTCCGTAAAAGACCCAAGCTATAGACAGCAGAGAAGCGAGTGAGTCTGTGCTTAGTGGTTTAACCTTAAACCCGACTCGGACGTGGCTAAGGGGGGAGCTGGTTTGCTGGAGGACGGTGACCCCCCCCATGGCACCGCCGGCACCCCCCACAGGTGGTACCCATGCTCACCTTGTCATCCTGGGAGTCTGGCTGCAGCAGGCTGTGCTGCTGGATGGCCATGGGGGGTGGCAGGGGAACCGAGTCGGGCCCCTCCTCCCCCTCCTCCTCCCCACAGCTCTGCATCCCCGACGACGACGACTTGGACAGTGTGCCACTGCTGAGCCCCTCGCTCCTTACTCTCTGCAGAGGAACATTTCAGCCATGAGAAAGCCGGCTCCGCCCCCAATGTACCCAGCCACGCCCCATACGACAACCAGCCCCACCCATAGTAGCCAACACTACCTCCGGCAACAAACCCCAGCCCACAGTAACCAAGCCCATCCCAAAGTAACCAACCACCCCCCTGTAACAACCATCCCATAGTAACAAAACCCAGACAAAAGTAACCAACCCCACCCCAAGCAAAAGACTGGCCTGTAGCAACAAACCCTACCTCATAACCAACCCAGTAACCCAGCCCCTAGCAACAAACTGTCTCTTGGCAACAAACCCCAGCCCATAGTAACTAATTCTAGCAACACACTGCCCCATAGCAACAAATCCCACAGCCATGGTTAGCATCCCTGCCCACTGCAGTCAGCCTTGCCCCCCACCTCCTCCACGGTCTCATCCTGAGGTGTGGCAGCACTGTCGTCAGAGTCCTTCTGTGAGCCAACGTCGGCGCTCTTGCGCACATCGCGGCTCTTCTTGTGCTTCTGTGCCAGCTTCTTGACGTGCCCGTCAGCCTTGCCGCTGCTGAGCCGCCGCACCGGGCTGGTCAGCCACTTGCGCAGCGTGTTGCCCGGCCGCTTGGGCCCCGGGGAACTGTGGGGGCCCGAGATATGGCTGGGCTGCAGCGTGGCCGATGAACCGGGGACCAGGGAGTCGCTGCTGCACACCGACAGGGTGTCTGCAGGGCCAACAGACAACAACAGGGACTTATTCTAAACTGCCAAAGGATGTGAGCCCCCCAGGGGACATCAGCTGTGTTCCTATGCCCATGGGAGATGTAAACCCCACCCCCATGGGATGTCATCCCACGGCCTTACACCCTCGGGGGACGTCAGTCCTGACCCTGCACCCACGGGAATGTAAGCTCCGCCTCCCAGGGGACGTCAGTCCTGACCCAGCACCCACGGGAATGTAAGCTCCGCCTCCCAGGGGACGTCAGTCCTGACCCAGCACCCACGGGAAAGTAAGCTCCGCCTCCCAGGGGACACTACCCCCACCACCCGTCAGCCCCCGTCTGGCAGCGGGCCGAATAGGCCACGATGAGATGGGAAAGCGATGGAACGATCCAGAACTATCCTCCTGACCCAGATAAGTCAGCAGATAACTCCAACATCTTATGCACATTAACTGTGTCGTCCCACAGTACATATATAAATTACATAAAAAGCGCTAATTAAAAACTCAACTGAATCAGTCCCGGGATGATAAGAATAATCCCTCCCGTAAGGAAAACAACACTCCCCCTATAATGCACGAGACCGACTTTTCAAACCAAACTTTATCCAAAGCAAACAACCTACATCTGCCAAAGATCCATCACAAGTGAATTAAAACTGGTACAGGAGTGAATCTCCAGCTGATAACCAGAAGCACATGCCCTCTGGTGGTGAAAAGAAGAATGAACAAAAGTCTGGCAGGAAGGTTCAGCCCAGGTACAGGAATACAAAAGGCCACAGAAAGGTGAATTCACCATCCAGCTGTTCTGATCTACCATTTTAGTGTGTTTTCTAATTTACAAACATGATCTGTGACATACATACCAGTATATCTGTGCATTTGGGCCTAGATTAGAGGACTGAGTGGTGACGTGTGAGTGTAAACAAAGTCCCGCCCCCAGTTGGGACTAGAGCCTATCAGAGGAGGCCCTCTTTGGACATGCCCATATGGGGGCGGGGCATGGATAATCCCTGCCTACCTCTGTGGTTGAAGATGCCCTCCATCTCCATGCTGCTGCGGGAGTGGGCGATGCAGAGCATGGCACAGGGCACGAGGCCCTCCTGGGCGGGCGAGCGGTCGGTGGTCCGCACCAGGCACCAGTCGGGCCGCTCGTGGGGCCGCTCCAGCACCTCCACAGTCTGGCCGCGGCGCACCGTCAGCTCATTGCTATTCCCTGCCGCGAAGTCGTGGATGACCACGGTCAGCTCGCAACCTCCAGAAAGCTAGACAGGGATGTATTGGAGAGAGAGGGGTCAGGGGACGGCAGCGTGGTCCTAAAATCGGACTCCAGGATTCACCCCGTCTGTGGAGTGGAGCTGTGTGGAGAGATCCGAGGCCCGGGACTCACTTTGTCGCTGTCCAGGGTGTTCTGGGAAGTGCGAGAGGCCAGGGATATGGTGTCAGGCTGACTGCTTCCGTCACCCTGACTGTCCAGGTCCTCACCATCCCTGTGGAAAAAGACTCAATTCTCAACTCAGGTTCTACACAATTTAAAAAGAAAGTTCCAATAAATAAGAGCAATAACACTCAAGACGTTCTCTTCAGAGAGGGCAGGGGGGTACCTTCTACCCTTGTGCTTCGTGGTGGCGGACTTGGGAATGTGGATGGGCTCCTTGAGCGCCCCCTTGAGGTGGATGGTGCGCTCCTGGATCACCTCCCGTATGTGCTTGATCCAGTCCTGCTTGTTCTCGATGCTGGAGGCCTGGGGAAGGCGTGACACGGTTAGACGCCAGTAAAGCCCCTCTCCTCATCGATTTGATGGAGTCGCTGTTGGCTGCCATACTCACCATGGTGCTGTGTTTGCTGCCCTGACTTAGCGGCTTAGTTTGAAATATAGAACAGAGAATTTCACTATTTTTCATACTGAATGATTCACACATTATGGTGACAAACGGCACGGACAGACAGCAAAAGAAAGACACCGACTTCTTTAACACAATCTCTATGTTACACATCATGCCTCATTAGTCTTAGCATCAGCATTAGAAGCAAATCCTCCCCCTAATCATTCTACAATCATCATATATATATTCTACAATATATCATATAAAAAGGTAAAGATTTATTTAAGCTATTTTTGGGTCATCCAGACGCAAATAATGGCTAACCTAGTAAACTGAGATTAAATACTTGCATTAACGAACCACTTCGGATATTTAGAGCACGAAGGCTGAAGAAGAGTCTGTTTGAAAGGCATGTGACAAGAACACAAAGCTAATCTGGGCTCCCTGTGATGTCACACCTGTGATGTCACACCTGTGATGTCACACCTGTGATGTCACACGGGTCAGTCTGCTGAGGTGTTGGAGTTCACCTATCCAGCAGTGTGCCTGCAGTGGCTGTTTCATTACAATAGAGCAAGCACACCATGGCACTAAAAGCACACAGCAGACGATGCACATTCTGATTTGGAAGGTGTACATGCACCCCCAAGAACACCAACCCGGCGTGTAAATGGGTAACATGCTTTTCCGACAATTAACACTGACAGCAGCTTCAGTTCTGCTGGGTTTGAAAGGAGTACGATCTTACCATATAAATCATACGTAGTAAAACATTGGGGGGGTCTTAGGCAGGACCCACAGACACTAAAATGTCATCTATAAAAAAGCTGTCAATCGACTTGGCAGAAAGCATGTTATCCAACCATCATTTCATATTCATACAAATACAGGATAATAGCTTGGGTTACTTTTACCAAGGGAAATTCACACATATGGTCCACGGTGCAGAGAGATTCGTAGATGCACCCAGCTGCTACCCATAAGCCATCCAACCACAGGAAACACCATACAGTCATGCACGCAGAACAGGGTGAAAACGGAAGCCTGCTGCTCTCAGCAGGTCATGTGCTTACCTTTAGGACAATCTTATTATCAGAAGTTGGGGTCCGTCCTACCCAGAGGGCAAATTTGCAGGGGTCTCCCTCAACGTGCTCCGTGACCCCCAACTCTGAGGTCTAAAGACAGCCCCCGTAAGAAGAATCAGACATCAAGACCATGTGAGCCTTTGACAAAAGATGGGGTTTAGCTTGAGAAGGCCACTTACGAAGAGCTTGCTCTTATAGATGTACTTGCTGCGGCCGTTGGAGTCCTTGACCTCCTTGCTGAAGACCAGGGACATCTCAAACAGGAAGAGATGGCGCTCGCGGCCCTTGCGGATGAGGGTCTTTGGGTCCCACACCTGGAAGGACTCCTGAAGGATGAGCTCGCCCTGAGACTCGATGTTCTCATCGAAGCCTGTAGAGATTGAGGTCAGGTTTGAACACGGGCAACAAGCAGCAAACCAGCATGGCACGCATTTCCCAAATAAAAATAGCTTAAAGGCAATGCGCTTCACAACAGATTTAGGGCCCTCAGACGGTAAAACTCGGCTGAACGTGAGCGTTTAGCCCCACGTGGCCTGGCTCCGCTCACCTTCCAGCATGCTGAGATGCATGGCGTCGTTGGCACGCTTGGGCACACTCAGCATGACCTCCAGGCCATCCTTGATCTCCCCTTTACCCTCCTCACAGCACGTCAGGAGCTCCTGGAGACCAGAGCATAAAGCTAGACTGATAAACATCACAGACGTGGCTGAAGCCTGATACATGGAAGCGCCAAGAGTGAGCTGCATTACGCTAACATAGACTGTGCTAACAGGCTAAAAGCTACCAAATGCCCCCTTCCTCTTTAAGACGTGTACAAATAGTAATGCTAGGCTAACAGAAAGAATGCTAATAAGCTAAAGGCTACCTTCTCTGGATTGTCACGAATGGTGGCATGTTATTCTAAGAAACAGACCATGGGAAAGCCCTCCGTGAAAGAATGCTAGCACACACGCCCGTCCTTGTGGCTAACGAGACGCGGCTCGAGCGTGGCCGCCCCTGGCGACGGACCTTGAGCAGCAGTTGGTACTTGGTTATTCTCTGCACCGGCTTGATCAGGTAGGAGGAGATGGAGTTGGCCAGGCGGTGCCTGAGCTGGATCTCCTGTAAGAGGGATAAGAGGATTACAGGTGACATCCGGCTCCCCAAAGCCTGATTAGAGTCACACGCTGAGATCACTCGCTACCCTGTAACTAACTGCACCAATACGCCAACAGAGACTCCTAACTGGAGTTAAAAGACGAGAATCCACACGTTTTACAGATCATATATTCAAACAGAATTACTTAAATCGTTCATACAGACTGTCCCCGACATACAACTGGACATACGTCGAAATGGACATACGTCGGAATGGACATACGTCGGAATGGACATACGTCGGAATGGGATAATCGCACTCACTCTTAGGTGTGAGAATGAGACTGGGAGATGCGTGCCATGCTGGGATGGTCCTGCTTCCACACAGTACAGTACTTTCCCGTGGCAACTATTGTATGTCTTTGGTCATATTTGCAAATCGTCGTAAGTTTGGCAAAGTCAAAAAAAATTTGAGAGCACCTACAAAACCTCAAGCTTCCTAAAATATCTACTCAAAAACAGTCCAGGTTGTAGTTCATGAGTTCAGAAAGGTTTCCACAGTTCCTGACATACACAATGTCGGGTAAAATAACGAGGCACACACTTTACTGTGTGACCTGTGACCCCCTGCTCAGGTCCGTCAGGGAGTCAGAATGGGCTGCGGTCACTCACGTCGAAGTAGCTCCCAGCGTGCTCCAGTATCAGCTGGGTGGAGTCCGGTTTGTTCTTACAGTAATTGACGTACATCTGGAACTTGTCGGCCTGTAAACAGTGAACCAAGCGGAGAGGCGTCAGGAGACGGCAGCTGGGCTTACACAGAACAAGAAGGTACAGCGTAGCCGGTGGTGAGCCCAGCCGCGTTGTACATCAAGAAGAAGTATAAAACTATGTGTCTGAGTTAACGAGAGCGCAGCCCGGCTCCCCACGCTCACCCAGGTGACGAAGCAGTGACCCACATCCTCTGGTAGCTGCTCATACTTCTCTAGCTCCTTCAGGAATATGCTGTGATGACAGGAGGCGTGTGTGAGATCAGCTAAAAAAGACTGCTTACTCATTACGGCACACCGTACTTCAGAAAACCCAGTGATGTTTTACCCTAAATACAGTGCTATGTACTCTTACAGACCATACGTACTGTACAATGTTCTCCAATAGATCCTAAGTATACTACAATGTACTCCAACAGACCCGACATACAGGACACTATACTCTAACAGACCCTAAGTATAGTTCACCATATTCCAGCACACTGGCAGACTCACTTGTGGTGGAACTCATAGAGGTCCTGCATATTCCCAAAGATGATGTGCTCCTTGTTGACGATTCCTTGGGGGATCTCTTCAACGCCACTGGTCATCTCCCACAGGTAGGTCTGAGCAGGGGACACAGATTGGGCTGAACATGAGTGCCCACATGATGTTGGTGTAATAGTATATATACATTGGCCAGTATGGTACAAAAGTAGGCAGGTTATTCTAATGACGCGTAGTCATACAGTGCTCCCTAAAGCTGGCTGTTTGGGGGGGGGGGGCAGCTTACGTCCATGCACTCCCTCAGGTCCCGCACGTAGGCCTTCTCCGTCTGAATAAGCTCCGCCATAATGAACCTGCAGAGACACACGTGCACAAACACTCAGAGGATTAGCTACTGTTGCCCTGTTTCAATTTTAACGTCTAAAATTGGGTCCTCATCGGTACTCGCTATACACTTTTTAAAGCAGCACACAGCTCCTGCTACAAGTGAATCCTCATCCTGTCATGGAAATGGCCACAAATCATGCCACTGCAAATAAAACAGGCTGACAACATCCATGTCACTGGCTGAAATCATCCATGGGACTGGATGGACTCCAATCGGGGCTCGGCATGTGCGTGAGGGCAGGCCATGGCCAGTCAAAGCACCTCCCCTGCATTAATCACCGGCATGGCGGTTTGCGGCACAGGGGGTCACAGGCAAACTGACAGTCAGATAAACGAGGCAGGTGCTAATCTGGAGCGAGACGCTCTGGGCAATTGGAAACAAGCGACCCCGTGCTCCTCATCTGGCCAAAACAGCAAGGATCTGATTGGACAAAGGAGTCAGCGGGACTCGGGGAGAACCGCATAGGCGGACATCTGGGCCAAGAAATTCAGCAAGCGTAAATGAACGAGAGGCAGAGCAGGGCGGAAGGTTTAAGGGTGGGGTGCGGCTCAGACACGCACTCTTTCCTGCGGGCCGACTTGCGCTTCTCCTCATTAAGCTCATGGGCCGCGTCCCGCAGCTTGACCTCTGACCCTGGGGCGCTGGCTGGGATGATGTCCAGCTGCAGGTCTTTGCTCTGTGACAGGGAACAATGCAGGAGTGACCTAGCAGGGGACCGACCGACCCAGAAAAACCACAAGAAGCCCCCCCCCCACTGCAGTCATCTCTGCCCCACAAAGCCCGAGCCGTTACACGCACCGACTTGTTGGAGTCTGAGGAGATGCCCAGCGCCTTCTCCAGGGACGAGCGGTATTTGTCCATGCGCAGGGAGAAGTCCCGGTAGCGTTTGTCCACAGCGGTAACCCATTTCTTAATCTCCATGGCGTGGGCGTGCCCCTTGTCACAGAAGCCATCGGCCAGCTGTATCAGCAGTTTTACTCGCTCTTTGGTTTGCTGCAGGTGAGGTGAATGCGGAGGGGGGGCGATGGCGTTAATGCAGGGAATGAGACATTGGCAGGAGGACACAATGGGGATTACCATGTGGCTCAGCAGTAGGACAAAAACACCCCCATGTGACTTACTCAGTTGGAGGGAGGGCCCCCCCCACAAAAAGCCCGACAAACAGATCAACTAATTCGGCCATTTAGCTGCTTATGCATAAAAATACTAACATCACGTGAGCTGCCCATTGGCACAGGATTCTGCTGAGGCAGGGACAGTGTGGAATTAGGGGACGGAGAGAGAGAGGGGGAGCGAGGGCACAGCGGAGGTACAGGCTAACGCGCCCTACCTTGGCTGTGATGTGGAAGTCCTCGTGTTCCTTCAGTAGCTCCTGCGTGTGGTGGATGCTGGAGCCGGTAGAGGTGTGAGTGGACAGGTAGAACTCGCCGGTGTCGTGGATCCACTCTAAGGCCTGCGGCACGAGCGAAGAACAATTTCACAACGGCTTCCAGAGACCTCACGCCTACGGCTTAATTTAGCCATCAAAGTGACTACCATCTTACTGGGAAGCGTGGCTTAGCACAGCTTGTCTTTAAATTGTTTACTAGTATTAGCGAATTCATTAAAAAAAACTTTTAACCTTCCTCTAGTCAGAAGACAAGAGAGTACTGGTCCTTTGATCAAGAATCTAGGTCTAAAATGCATCAAACTGTATATTTCATTTAGGGCTGGGCGATGTGTGACATTAATATCGATATCGCAAGTTATGAACATGCAATTCTCACACTGCAGCTAGGTTGAGATCAGGCTTCTTACTGTACAGACTTTAAACCGTGATATCAAATATTTTCATAAGCAGCATTAATCCTCAATACAGTTCCAGTACTTAGCAAGCTTTACAAATTTTATCACCGAGATTTCTAAATTTTGTTTCATAGGAAACCAGCCACCCCCACTTCCTCCACACAATTTGTTAACTACACCTCCCGAAAAAGGTTCTCTTGTACCTGGGTGTTGTGCATGTATAGTACATCTGATAATGAGTAACACTAGATAATCATCTCATATTTGGTCAAGCAGCCAATAAGAACATACATCAGCAATGCACCACTGAGGTATCCTGAGCGAGGTACCGCCCCCAACCACTGCCCCCTGGGCGCCGAATTAGCTGCCCCCTGCTACGTCATGACGTCACATATGGGTTAAATGCAGAAAACACATTTCCTTGTTGTGCACTGTGGTGTGTCAACAATGACAATTAATCACTAAATTCTATAAACATCATTGGCAATTATTTTACTGATGTTTATTTCAGCAAAGTTACCAGTATGAAAATTCCCTGACTTCGCTAATGTTAATGCTAAGTTAGCTGACCCATAACTTCACGGTATATCAATAATAGTTGGCCATGTACATCAATGGGGAATATTTAACTGTAAAATCTATTGATCTGACGGGGTCAGATGAGTGCTGTCTCATGTCTCCACTTCCCGTATCCTTCATTTCAAATCAAAATGTGCAAATGCACCCTCATGAGATTTCAGAAAACTGTGAAGCAGCATCGGCAATAATTGTGCAGCGGCGAGCTGCTGCAGCAAAATGTATAAAGCGGAAAGACAAGCTGTTTTCCAGAAGAACATCACTCGGGGTGAAACAGCACATTGCCTGCACAGCTGAATCTCATACTGATGGGTTCTTTAGGATCAAAGTCTTTTCCAGATAAAAATACAAGATGACTGGGGAGATTCACATTACGTCCAGGGAACTTAAGCAGTTGAATGGGGAACATGCTATAACTGACTTCCCCAATTCCGGTCCTGGAGGGCCAGTCCGCAACACAGTTTACAGATTTCCCTGCTCCCACATACCTACTAAACCTGATAATTAGCTATGGTGAGACATAGATACTTGAGAACAGGTCATGCTGCAACTGTCCAGCATTGCAGAAAAGACGGACATTACTAGAAAAAATTAAGCATTTATTAAATTAAATCCAATGTAATTACTGCTCCCCTGTGCGAGCTTGTAGCCAAACCAGCACTGTAATACAGAAATGGCCACAAGAGGGAGCTCTGGCACAAGACAATGAATCATCCCTGAATTCTGCGTATGTTAACATTGACACATCAAATCGTGACTAAGGATGTTTGGGATTCTCTACCACAACAATTAAGACAGCCGCATCTGAGAGACCAGGGTTGGTATTATGGGTTAGACAGAAACCCTGTGGAGTTCACAAACTATTCTGCTGACCTCTCAGGGGCGGGGAGTCACGGCCTGGGAGAGCCGATGTGTGGGTCGGGCCTTCTGGGAAACTAACCACAGCCCAGATTTTCAGAATGACTTTGTCTTTCCGGAAAGAGGGATGGAAGCCCTTGGACTGACCTGCTTGGCGCTGCGCTCGAACACCACGTACTGCTGGCACTGGTCCAGCCGGCGCTTGCGCATGGTCCAGAAGTGGAGGACCCGGTTCTCCCTCTGAAGCAGCTCATTCAGGATGTCTGCAGGTGGACATAAATCCGACACGCAAAGACACGGTCATATCCGGTTATGTGTTGTATTGCGTTTTTTTTTTTTTTAGTACTCTAGAATGTTCTCCGCCATTCTCATGAAAAGCAGGATGAAACGCGGCTCTGAAATCAAATCCGACAGTCAGGCCCCTAAAGGCAAGCCGTGACCCACTTTCTTTTTACAGCCCGTCATTAAACGGCAAAGGCCGTTATTCATAGAACCAATATCGGCAGATCCGGGGTCAGGCCAGCTCTGAAATGTGGGACGCCGCCGCTGATGGGCGGGGCGTATCGGGCCTCGCCGATACACAGCACAAAACGGAACATCACCGACAGGTCATGGGTCAGCCGGACGGACAGCAGTGGGACTCACTTTTAACCTGCTGCTCGGGTGCCTTCACGTGGCTCAGCATCCCAGGCACGTTGACGCTGTTCCTGTGCAGGTATTTCAGGAAGACGTCAGCATTGCGCCGGGCAAGGGTGCAAGCCTGGAGGGGAGGAATGCTGTTAGAACTGCATTTCCATATGCATGCAGCAGGGGGTGCCAGACTCACTGGTATGAGATTAGGATTGGCTTCACTTGAACCCACATGACTGCACCTGCATCAACAACAATACCTTCAGAAAGGCCTCCTTCTGCTCCAGGTGTTTGCTGATCATAGGTGTCACGTGGTCCGTCTCACAGTTGGGCCCTAACTTGTCGGCTCCTCCGCACCAGTCTTCCTCACGCTTGTACTCCTGCTCCAGGCTCTCCAACACACTACACACCTTTGAGAGGGGACACACACAACACAGCTTTAAACTACAATACCCAGAGTCAGGTAGAGGCAAGTCAGAATATCCAGAATGCACTTCATGCACAAAAATCATGGAGAATTGTGTACACAGTCAGAAGCAGAATTACTCGCTCAAATCAAAGAGAAAACTGTCTAAGGCAGGGGTCTCCAACTCCGGTCCTGGAGAGCTACTATCCAGTAGGTTTTCTGTCCCACTTGGCTTCTGATGAGCCACACCTGCTCCTGGTAATTACCTGAGAACAGGTGTGTCTCATCAGAGGCCGGGTAGGATAGAAAACCTACTGGACGGTAGCTCTCCAGGACCGGAGTTGGAGACCCCTGGTCTAAGGGGACCTCTGCAGAAATGGCTCCCACCTGCTCAGAGGTCTTGTAAAAGGCCACAGAAGCATTGACCAGCTTCAGACGGTCCTCCATCTTCAGCATGAGCTGCTGCCAGTGGGAGGCCACGTTCTCGGCGCAATCGCGGATCAGGTCCATGTCGTAGTGGTTGGCCTGCAGCATGGCTTCTGCCTTCTGCTGCACCTGGAGGGCGCTCTGGTGCGTTTTCTGTAAGGGCCACCAATACAGCTGCTGATAACTTCCCGAATCCCAACCCAAGTAGATCGAAGTGAATAAAATCCTACGGGGACTAAGACAGGTCAGTATGGTGGGGGTGGTGGTGGGGGAGAGGAAGGCGGGTACATGGAGGACAGAGGAGGACAGGCTTGCTGAGGAAAGCGGCGGAGGAGAAGAGGACAGGCACGCCGAGGATAGCAGCAAAGGGGGGGGGGGGGGGTGGGGGGGGGGGGGGGGGGGGGGGGGGGGGGGG